GCTTCAATACATAATATCTACTTCTTGTTAGAGAAACAACGAAAAATCTAAACAAAACTCATGCCCTTGTGCATAGTATAACTCGAAGAAGTGATCTACCTTAGAAAAGCTGGAAAAACAAGGACTGAAAGGACAACCAAATCAACAACGGTGTTCTACTACATAGAAAGCCTAGAGATTCCTAAGTTCTTGTACATTTAATTCGGAGGGAAGAGTTCAAGGCCAAAAGAAAATCGCATACTTCTCCAATCGCAATGGTGATGACATGTGGAGTAAAACCCATCCCAGCTGAACCAGCCAGCAATTCACCTAGCAAAACAATTGGACAGTTAAAACATCATTCACATAGCAAGAATAAGATATGTTAGAATTAAGCACTAAGAACAGAGAGAAACTGCAAGCACCGATACGATATAACGAGTTCGTTCACCACAGAGGATGGAACTTTAAATTATAGGAATGTTGAATAATTAGTTATGAAGACTTCCACATTTGAATGTCTATGTCACTCAATAGTTATTTGAAGTCTGAAACTTTATCACATATTCCTATATATGAGGCTGAGCATACAATTTTATAACATTAGCAAAACATAAACAATTTACCAAGGGAAGACAACTGTTGCTTCCTTCCGGTACCCGGCAGCTGCCCTCTTCCCCGTTTTTGGGTTGGAGTTATTGTTCCAGAATGAGTAGCGATGCAGGAGTTAGTGCTAATGAAACAGTTATCTGATCCGTACTTTCGAGGTCTCCCTCTTTTACGCTTCACATTCTCAGTAGGAGAACGTGCCTACATTGACACTATGAGGGGTGATTCCCGACAAAGGCTCTACAGGTAAGGTTGCTCCCATAGTAGTGGCATTAATACTTGATTGGTATTGAACATTCGGATACGATAACGGATGAATGCCTGTGATCCATGAACCCCAATTTGTGTCCCGGAGCCGTTTATACCTCTTTGTTGCATAGTAAGACGCAGAGCCCGATAACGCCATAGCATCCCTTCGTTCCAGCATCTACCTCGTGTAACCTATACTTGAATAAGCATTCAAATCAACACTCCATGCAAATTGGAAAGGCTAGAATAACAGAAAAGTGCCTTCGAAGCTCCTATCTGTGACCACTAAACAGTTAAAAAGCATATAGAACTTGGAAACAACATGAAGAGGGACAGAGAGAACAATCTACATGAAAGATTACAATATGTCAATGAAGAACTTGTTTCCCAGCCCCATAATCCTAGAGAATCGAATTTCACACATGCATTGCTCTGGAAATTGAGCCACACCAAAGTGTAATGAGTTACATTTAGCTTTACAGAGAAAGCTCTTCAAATCTATACATGAAGGAAGAAAAATGAAATAACATATGCTCGCAACAGTGCTATTATTAGGGGGGAAAAAAGCTTTATGTTAAAGAAATTAAGAAGCAGAATGGGAACTGTTCCCTCAAAATCTCTACCCAAGAAACCATTTACTCACGTAATTAAGAAAATAAAGAAACAGACAAAAGCTAAAGCCAATGCCATAAAAAAGAAAGTTGAAAGTTGAAAAGTTGAAACAAGAACTACAACTTCCTCCAAAAACTAAGCACAAATGGCTAGAAAAACTGCTCCTTTTTCATGGGGGAAAACCCAGAAACAGGAAGTAACTTACATTAGTGAACAGGGATTAAACTGTCCACCCTTTTGAAAGTAAGAATCTTTAACGAGCTGGGTTCTTTTTTCTCTTTCTGTTTTGCGGGAAAAAGAAGGAATTAAAGGGAAGGTGACAAATAATAGAGCAAATATGTCATTTTTTTTTTGATAATTTCATTTTTTTTATTTTAATCTTAAGGTCGTGGGATCGAGTATCATGGAGGGCATTTCATAATTTGGAGGTCTCCTACGGAAGCTGTTCTCAACCTAGTATTGGAAGTAGTCTACTATCTTACCTCCCTTTATCCCATTATATATATATATATATATGAGAACAAGACACACCCATTTTTATTTTCGCTGCGAGGGAGAAAAGAAAGGGAAAGAAAACGTTGTTTATTATTAGTTGCTACAGAAAGCTATTCTGCATACAACAATTCTTATCGAGATTCATATTTTTTTCAATGCTGTTTATCTTTTCCTACCTCTCTTGTTATCTAAAAGGGTATTGTTGTCTTTATCTTTAGCTTCCCCCCTCTCTCTCGGAATGACAACGGGACGGGTTCAGGGCGGGTTTTACTCCCCCGTCCATGTTCTCGCCCCGTTCCTTGTTAGGTTTTTTATCAGGACGCTCCGTCGGAAAATTTTTTTACCCTATCCTCGAACCCGACCCGAAAAATCCCCGAACACGGACCTAAATCCAAAAATATTATATATATATATATTATATATATAATTAATATAAAAATATTATATATATATATATATATAATTGGGGTGGGACGAGATACCTTGCCCCAAACTCGAATCTAAAAAAATCCTCGAATTTTACCCCGATATCCGACTCAACCCGAACTTAGTCGGATTGAATTAAGTAATTATCTTAACTGAATAAAAATAATATTTTGTTATTATTTCAAGTCAGGTCGGATCGAATTCGAATTTTATCTCAAAAAATTAAATCAGATTCGAGTTAAATAGAAGGTATATATTTTTTGGATCAGGTTGATAGAAACTCCATCCAAATCCGACTCATGAGATCCCTACGTGGGAGTACGAGTGATGATGTTTTGACTCGACGGGAAGCGGCAATGGCCGGCTTAGAACATAGGATTATAAACTTTAGATTTTTTTTTAAAAAAATGTATTAAATTATTAATTTCAAAACGGTCTGATAATGTAACCGTTTCGATATTGGTATAAAGGTAAAAGAATAATGTTTCATTCTATCTTATTTATTTTTCATTAAAATTATTATCTTTTCTATTTTATATGTTAATGAATTTATTTCATTATTTTTAATTTAATTTTATATTATTTTTAGATGTTGATTAATTTAATTTATTATTTTTAATTTCATTTTATCATTTTATTAATTAATTAATTAATAATTTATGTTGTTGATGGATATTTCCATATATATTCAATTAATGATATATCATGTATTATATCATAAAAAATGATGATATTATATATATCACGTTATTCAAAATAATATATATCATATCACTTAAAATGATAGCATGACATATATCAATATGTAATATATATATTAAGTAAATAATTAAATATAAAAAAGTATCATGTTAGTAAAATAGATTAATAATTACTAAAGGGATCTGTTTTAATTAAAAAGTAAAAGGTAAAGTATTCTAAAAAGTAAAAAAATTAATAATTATCTGTGGAAATATTAGATCGGTGATAAATAAATAGATGTCTTGGGGGTTGAAAGGGAGCGCGTGACGTGAAGGCGAGCATGAGGTGAAGTGCTGGGGGTAGTTTGCATTGCATGTGACCAGTCTCCGTTTACCACGCACTAAGATTGCTCTGAGTGAACTGACAGACCATGAGTCTCGAAATATCTTCCACAAAGCACTGATGACATCACCCCACAACATAGAGTTTCGCCTTATTTCTTTGTAGATATTCATTTTCTGTCGTAGTTCAATAAATAATTTCGTTCGAGACAAATAAATTTTATGAAGGTTATTATATTTTTTTAATTTTTTATAATGATTTATTTTTCTTTATATCTTAGAGTTTAATATTTTTATTTTTATGAGTTTTTTTATTATTATCTTTGTTTTTCTCTTTATATTTTTATGTTTGAATATGTTGTAATTCGAATTCATTCATTTTTCTTGATTTTTAAAATTTAGTTGTCATCGTTGAAAGAAATAGTAATTTAAAAAAAGCAACTTTTCATAGGGTTAACACGCCCCCTAAACATGCTCATAAAATTTCAAACATAAAAGGGAGATTGTAAATAAAACATAACCAATGATAGACATGAAAGATTAAGAAAGAACGAGTAGGATGAAGTAATTAGCACAATATGCTCATCATATATATCCGTCATTTTTCTCCAAATTATTCATCAGATTTCAAACTTTTCTCATCAGTTTTATCCTTGTGAAAGATGGGAACATTCTCATGTCAATAAACCGACGCTGGTTTGCATTTTCAAGTGGGAAGGCACAAACAAGTACATAGAATTGCATCTTGCAAAACATTGAAACCAGTCCCTCACTGCCTCGGTCATATCCAACAAGAGTTTAGTAGCTTATACAACAGTTCCTGGCTCGGCCCAAACGAAGAAAATCATCTCAAATACACACTATTGACTCTACTCCGATGGAAACAACTATCCGAGTAGTTTTTCCCAGGATCCAGTACACTATTTTCCACATGGTATACAAATCTACAAACAGTTCCCATCAAAGGTAAACTTTTATCAATCCTCAACAAACTTCTTGCTTTCACATCACGTATCCATGCCATAGTAAGCGTTGCTCATAAAAATTCCAAAAAAAAATTCACTGCTTGAAAGAAACGATTCAAGGAAAACATGTGTATCAGTCAGACTAGGTTGTAAGGCATCATGTTATCACCTTTATATATCTTATTGAATTTGCACCATAAATCAATCGATATTAACAAAAGAAAAACCTAACGATGCAGAATGGTCTTGCAGTTCGATCATAAAGCTTTAGACAAAATGAATATCATACAGTAATTCAAAGCTTTGAGTCAGCTGATGGGTTCGGAGACGTTGTCATCTTAAGCAGTGCTTCTTCAGTCAATGATGCAAACAACATACACAAGTATGATGAGAGGCTAAAGCTGTTTCCCTCGGCGCAGAAGCTTGTAATTTCTCTACAGATCATAGGATCTTCTTTTATGTTTGCTAATGCATTTGGTTCGTACGACACATATTTATTAAATAATCATCTATTGGATCTATTTCTCACTTGATGTCAATGGTTCTCCATGTTTTCCTTTTCAAGAATCACGGAATGGAGAGATAAGAATATCAAGTAAAGTTAGAAATCCGACCTACAGACCCCCAAACGGAATCCACAAAAAAGTATGTTAAAAAGCAATAGTTATACAGATGACAATGCCCCAATGTTAATATAAAGGTTGACCTCCAAAAGGATTTACCGTTGCAATATTTAGCCCACAATACATGCCATAACGACTTCATACTCCTCCTAAACCTGAACTTGCTGAGCACTTCGAAATGATTCCTGTTACTCCATAATAGACCGGTTGTTTCCTGTAAAGGTGATAAAGTTCCACCAAAAGCCGACCCCCCAACATATATGTCCCTGAAGCTTCACCATCTTCAGATTGTAGTTTCCCAGTGACACTACTTGACTGGAAAGTCTTGTTTTTGGATGATACAGCTGGCTGACTTAATGACCTGCTGCTGCTCCTGGGGCTTCTGCTTCATTCCAGTTTCACCTTGCAGTGTCTGGCCTCCGGATTCATTGCTACTTTTCTCCATGGAGGCTATCATCTGCTTGTACAATTCTACCAAATGCTTCGTCTCTGCAAATCACGAACATGAAATGCATAACCTTTAGATTACGAATCAACATAAATTTCATATGCACAGAGTGATCAGCAACGACAGGGACGGACGTAGGATTTTAAGTTGGGGGGCGAACTTGAACTTATAAAATTTCAGGGGGGGGCGAAAACATATTTTCAACAGAAAATACACATAGAAAAAATTTAAAATATATGGTAATTTTAGATTTTTAGGGGGAAACCGCCCCCACCCGCTCTCCCCTAGGTCCATCCCTGAGTAACGATACAACAACAACAACAACAATAACAAAACCATATTCCCATATGCAATGGGGTAAGGGGAGGTAGGATAGTAGGCTGCCCCCAATACTAGATCATTCTAAAGAAACGGTTTCCATGACAAAATGTTCACCACTAGCAACTAGCTAACTGCAAATCTTAACAGTTGAAAAACTTAACAAGCATATTGTGAGCTTACTTTCTTTGATTTCATCGGCGGCCTTGCAATTTCGAAAATCAGGCGCCCGAAGAACCTTCAGGAAACATAAAATCCATATCATATCAACAGAATGTTCCATGAATATAGAGAGCAATAAACTAAAAATCTTCATACAAGCATCCGGTCGATGAAGCAGCTTCCGGCATACATAAATTTTCAGGACACAACTAGAGAATTTTCCCTTTACGTTGTTCAGGCTATAACCAAACCTCATGGGTGATAGAACTAGCAATAATGGTCTAAACTTGAACAACTATACTTGGTTAAAACATAAATTTTCAAGGTCACTGCAAGAGAAACCCACAAAATAAGAACAACTAAGAATCCAAATCAATATTGAACAATTAAATCCAATTACACTGTCATATACTAATTATTGGGGAAACCGAAACTTGATCACAAAAAAGGGTTTCTTTTCCTCTAATTTAAAACCAACATGCAAGATAATGAGGAAATAGACAATAAAACCATAAATAAATAGGGAAAAAAGTTTTTTTAATTATATGAAAATACCTCGACGAAATGAGGGCGAAGATCTTTGAGAACAAGGCGCATCTTGAAATATGGCGAATTTTGGGATTGGTCATTGCTGTCTTCTAGAGGTCTTTTCTTGCTAGCTGGCTGTTCTGGTGCAGTAGGAGGTGGCTGCTGTGGAGGAGATGTAGTTTGGGCAGCGGTTGCTGTTGGTGGGTTCGCGGCTGCTTTCGGCTCTTCCATTTTCTCAGTCGCAAATAGCAAAAAGACCGGTTAACTCGAAGGCTGTTTTCTTTCAATCTGGGCGTGTTTGGTTGTCAACTTTCTGTCTGACTAATAAACCAATTAGATCTGGGGTCGCTTTCGGATACCCATTTTAAACCATCCACTGTCCGATCTTGCTCCGATCAACTCTCTTCTAAATGGTCAAATTGTAAAATGAATCCTTATACTATCTATAAATTATGGATTTAATACATGTACTATGACTTGATCAATTTTACTCTTTATACTTTTTTAAATTTAAAACCTTAAATATATATAATTACATAAAATAGAAGAATAGTATTAAAATATAATTTTTGCATAATTATTCTTCTGATTTAATAGATTTTACTATCACTTTTTGGATCAAAATTTTGAAATTAACAAATGTTTAAATTAAAATAATTAAATTAAAAATTTTAAGTTAAATTTAAGTTAAGCTAAACTAAATATTTATATTATGTCAAGAATTAATTGAAAAAGTTACTCATTTGGTCAATAATTCTATAGTAAAGTGTAGAAAAATCATTTGATTATAGAGCATTACTTTATTTAGTCTCTAATGATTAAAAGTAATAAATGATGCATTAATTTTAGAGTTTTGTTTATCGAATCATTGACAATTAAAAGTTATAAAATAATCACACGATTATTTATATATTCAATCACTCTGTTATAATTGTTGGTACTCAAATCTATAACTTCTAGAAATAACGATTATTTTAACTACTAAACAAATCGATTCGTAATAAATAATTTATTTATTTAAATATTTTTTTTATAAAATTGAGTCAAACCAAATCCAATCTACCACTAACTAGCCATGTCACAAATTACTGGACATAAAACGTGGCGTTAACTGTTGAGAGCATTCTCGTTTTATCCGAACGTGTGTATGAATGTCCTTCACAAACGTAAAACCAACACCTACGGCTGTCTTAAACTTTACCCATCCTTCCCACTTTTAACTCTTTTCACTCTCCTTTCTTCTTGGAAGCCCTAACAAGACAGCAGTAACATCCCCAAACCCTGATTCTTACAATGGCCCGGTCTCCGTATTCTTCAAAGCTCTCCCTCTCTTCCACCTTCACCCCCACACCCTTCCTAACTTCCGCTCCAACTACTCTCTTCCCACCAAATTCAACCGACCACCTCTTTCAAGATCTTTTTATCCGCTTCCCAACCACCGCCGCCGTCTCTGCCACCGAGCTCAGAGCCCGCCACCCGATAAAGCTATGGACCTTGTCTCCCTCCTCCGTGCTATCCCGGACTGGGCTGATCGTATTCAGGAGCGTGGAATGCGACAGAACCGCGCCCTTTACAACCACGAAAAATGGGTTCATCACAGAAGTTCACAACGCCACCTTCGACATGTACTTTCCAGTTTACAATCGCGTGTCATCTTATCACTGGTTCCACCTGTTTTAGCTTTTACTTCGGTTGCTATCGTCGTCGCCACTTACAACACCGCCGTGGATTTGCATTGGTTGCCTGGCTATTCCCGTTCTGAGAGCTTCTTCGTTGCCTTATCAGTTGACCGCGTCTGCTTTGGCGTGTTGTTGGTTTTTAGAACCGAGGCCTCGTTCAAGGTATGAAGAGGGAAGGAAGGCGTGGACTAAGGTAATTGCAGGTACAAATGATTTGGCAGGGCAGGTAATCGCCGGTGTTGAAATTCAGCTGATGATCAGCCCATTAAATCTGCTCTCTTGCACTATATCATGGCTTTTCCTGTTGCACTTAAGGTGAATTAAAATAAAAAAAATTAACATTTTGCATTAACTATGAAGGAAAATACTGATCGATTCGATAGTGGCGTTTTCTTTTTTGCAGTGTCATGTTCTGTATGGCTCGGATATTGGCAGGGATCTTCAGAATCTCCTTGAAGTAGATGATTTAGCAGTGATACTGAACTCGAAGCATCGGCCTCGCTGCATAATCGACTTCATTTCTCAGAGCCTTAAACTGCTGAACTTAGAAGAATCGAAGAGAACTATGTTGGTATCTCCCTTCTTGTACCATTTGAACTTAACCATGGGAATATCCACCTTGTACCATTTGAACATAACCATGGAAAATATCCATCTTTATCTCTATTTGATTGCAGTAGTCTTATGATCCCATTTCATTGCAGGAGTCAACAATCTCATGTTTCCATGAAGGAATCGGTGTATGCGATCAACTCATGGGGATTCCGATCCCTCTATCGTACACTCGGTTGACATCGAGGTTTTTGGTCCTATGGCATCTTACTCTTCCTCATACTATGGGATGATTGCCATTGGATTGTTGTTCCTGCCACTTTCGTCAGTGCTGCTTCCTTGTTCTGCATAGAAGAAGTATGCATCTTTTCTGGTGTTATGCTTTATTTTTTCTTTTTTTTCGATCTTTAAAAGTTCCGTTCTTGTTGCAGGTCGGTGTTCTTATCGAAGAGCCATTCCCGATGTTACCCCTTGATGAGCTCTGCATCGCAGTGCAGAACAATATAAAAGAAACGATCGCAACAGAGAATGATGTTCAAGCAAGGTAAAGGGGAAAAGAAAGAGGCATTCTTACAAACATTCCTAATGGTTGCCCCAAAACATAGTGTTAACAGGGTAATTGGCGAAGTTTGTGCTTATTGTGAAATATATATTTTCACATTGATTCAAGGCCAACTATCTTTGCCTTTTGCCACCTAGAATCTAGATGTACATAGAGTATGGTTGAACCATGCATAAAGAAACGATAATCATAGGACAACTATGTATATTGTACACAATTTTCTGAAATACAAAATAAGTGGGCTTCTGTTTATGGGAACCATTCAAGCCACAAGTTCTGCAACTTTAGAAAACAGTTCTAAAATCCCTGCAATTTCTTATATCATGTCACATGCCAGCTTACAATTGCCAGGTTCTAGCCATGTTAACCAACTAAATGATGTATAAGGTCAGGAATGGACCTAAAATTTCAAATTTTGGTATAATTTAAATATGTTTTTAATATTTTTCTTTTGTTAATAATTTGTTTTTACCTCTTAAAGTTTTATAAGTTCGGCTCTTAGTATAAAATCGTTTGTAGTCCCTATCTAAGGCTATATATTAACTACCCAAGTTGTGGATTGATCCATATGGTATTCCCCCATGGTTGAGTTCTATGGAAATACTTGATGAAACTTTTCTTAGATTCTCAAGTAAACTAATTAAAAAACTTAGGTCCGATAATAGAATGAACCTTTAAACTATATTTTCTTCACTGAAAAATGATTTTAGTGTACAAATGCGAAAATATATAGTTTAAGGGCCACTTTTATTAATAAGCCCAAAATTTACATCCTCTTTATCTCAAAGGAAATCCGTATCCCTTCCTTTCAAAGGATACGGAGTGGCTAGGGTTCCGTCGAAAGAAAAACCCTAACTAACATGCTGGTCCGGCCAGACTGCCGCCGCCGTCTGATCCCTCACAAGTCAAGGCTATACCTTCTAAACTCCGCCAAATGATGTTCTTCACCACCGATTCTCTCCACGGTTCCTCTTATGTCTTTCTTTTCGCTATTAGTTTATTCCCTTCTCTTCCACCTCTTAGCGTGTTCATCTTTCCTTTTCTAGGTGAACACAAGCAGCAGAAGGGGATGCTGGGAAAAAGGTAAAAATTATCATTTGAATTGGCTGGTTATGCGTTTCGTTTTTAGCTCAATTCGGTTGAGATTTTAATTCGAGTGATGTAATTTTTATTGTGCAGAAAAAACAAGCGGTGAATGGAACTAAATTAAAAGCCAATGAGATCAAAGATGGAAGTAATGATAAGAATCTCAAGAAGTCTCGAGATTCAGATAGGGAGGAAGATACTATGCGGAGTGAAAAAGGTGGAAAGAAAAACAAGAAAAGGAAGAGGAATCAAGTAACCGATCTCCGGTTTGAAACTACTGTGGATAAGTTAGCGGCAGCTCTAAACGAAAGGAGCGCAAGAAAAAGTAACATTTCCTTGCGTACTTGGCCATAGAAATTACAGTAGAACTTAGTCTTGGACTTCAGTCTAGAAATTACAGTAGTATTATCCTACATGTACTGGATATATGATCTGTTGAATTGTGTATATTTTTTTTAAAATGTTTTTTGCAGGCTAGATTAGTTGTAATTTACAAAAGTTTGATCCTTGTGTAGGTATTTTGAAGCGAAGAAGAAAAAGCATAAGATTGCTAGAATAAAAGAGATCCTAGATTTCCTGGAAGAGACTGTAAAATTCGGAGATGTGGTCGAAGCTCCTCTGAAGTTGGTTAAAGTACCCAAGGTACCTTTATCCTTTGATATTACATCAATACTAGTGATTTTTCGTGTCCCAATTAGGAGCTTTACTTTTGCAGGATCAAATAACTTAATCGATGCTTCCAAGGAGAGCTTAGGTTACATGCTATTGAGGCCTATAGGAGTCGCAAAGAATGGAGTTCGAGACGAGTGGCACCTCAACTACCTCCAGTGACTACATGATATTCAATTCAGCACTATTTCTACTTCCAGTGTATGCATCCCTTGACATTGTCTAGTTGTTTAAGCCTGCTTAACTATATGATGTCCACTGTATGAGTGATCACCCTGATGTTGAGTCTCGGTTCAATTTGTTAGAGATAACTGATGTCCTTGGTTTTGTTGAATCATAGAAAAGATGCCCCATTTTTAATTCTTAGCATGCATATGGCAGTTCGTTCTCGTTGTATATTACATATATGTATAATTGAATTGAGAAGCTAAAGACCTTGCTAGAAGGCAGGAATGAAATGAATTACTATTTTAGAGCTTTACATTAAGGCAATGGGGATTTTGAATTTATTGGAATATTCTTGTAGGAACTGCGAGAAAAGGGTAAAGTGTGCAATTGTTTGTTACACGTAGTAAACTTATATTTTATTTTAGAATGTGCAATGCTGGTTTCAATGAACTGAGCCAGCCAACTATGAACCCTTGGTCAAATAAGCAGTATATACCAGGTTTTTTAAGTCATACATCGGTGAAATGCAATGCACAAACATGAAGGCCCTGCCTTTTAATCAATTGAAAACAAAGGTCAGCGTTTTCACTTCTCAGTCCTGAAATCACCAGTGAAACAAAATGAGATCCAGAAAGGTGATCAAAGCGTAGAACGAGTTGTAAAGTGCCCAAGTGCATGTTCTTGCGTACCTGGAAAGCTGTAAGCTTGAAACAGCTTTCTGATCGGAACATGTCATTCTTGTCAAGCCATCTCCCGGTCTGTACTCTGCATCGTTGCCCTGAATGAACTTCATTCTACCCATTGCATAAGGTTGATAAGCAACATCCCATTTCCTGACGCTGAACCTGTCGAGCAGTGTAATCAGATGTTTGTGAAATATATTCGAGGGGCTAAATTCTGTCCTTGGCTGTCGTATTTTCATGCTTAGCATTTTTTGGCTCAATTTAATATTAGGTATTCATGGAAGTGTATTATTTTGCGATCTTCAAACAAACATAGATGACCTAAGTTCATTTACAGAATACATCCAGTTTTTATGCTCCATATATAAACCAGAAAAACAATTTATTTTTGGACATTTTTTCAAGGAAGTTTTGAAACTGGTGGAGTCGTCCTGGGAATAGCACGAAGATGAAGGCCTCCTTTCATATGAAGAGTGAATGTTACTTTGTAAATAGCATCTTTCATGTCATCTTCTAGTTTGAAACGAAAGCAACGAAGAAGTGCGATTGAGAATATCTTCATTTGTCTGTACGCAAATTCTTTGCCTAAACAAATACGAGGACCCGCCTGTAAACAAATGCAAAAGAATTTGATATTACCTACCACATATACGCAAAATGTGTATGTGCATGTGTATTAAGAAAAGATGAGATTCAGACATACATGGAATGATATGAACTTGATGGCGATTCGGGTTGAAAATTTCCATTCTTAAGCCATCTTTCGGGTCTAAAAATCTCAGCATCTTCACCCCAAATGTAAGGCATTCTGCCATGGCGTAAGCCAGATAGGAAACCTCTTCTCCTTTATTGATTTGTGCCCATCTGGTAAAATATCTCCATTGCACACCTTCCATCCTTGTAAATACCAATATTACACCATTGTTATCACGGATTGACACAATTTTATGTTTGAATTTATAAAATTTTAGAGACTCGACAATTACCATAGGTGCTACAGGGTACAATCTTAAGGTCTCGGTCAATGCTGCATGAAGATATTGCATCTTCTGAAGAGTTTCATCAGTTATTGATGCTAAGAAATCGTCGATGTTAGCAGAGCTTTCGCCACTGCCGCCGCCATGGGCGACGTCCATAACTTCTTGTGCAGCTTTTCTTGCACCGATGGGTTCTTGCAGAGCATGTAAAAGAACCAGCACAAAGCATTGGCGGTGGTATCTTTGCCAGCAATCATGAAACTAAAAACTATGTCCCTTAGATATCAGTCATCGTTTCTGGGTTCTTCTCTTTCTCTGCTAAAAACCTCGAAAGTATATCTTCTTTGACAGTCTTAAAGTCACCAACAACAAGAAGAAGAAACATTTAGCAACTCGAAGCATAAACACTGACTTTTAAATCTAAATTTAGATTAAAAAATTATGACTCACGAGATCTGGGTTCATAGCTAGTTGTTCTTTTGGTTCTTAGAACATGTAAATAAAATCATCAATAATTTTGATGTTGTTCTTGAGGGAAGCTTCAGAACCTATGTTGAGAAACCTTTTCAGCCTCCCAAAGGATCAACATAACGAAAGTACAGCGACTCAGTTGCATCGAAAGCTTTCATAAATGTCGGTCCCTTCATCTTTCTCGCTTGACGAACTCATGCAATTCAAATCTACTCCAAACCCTACTTTATCGACTCCACGTGATTTCATCAACATATCCTACAAAAAAAAAAAAAACACGTTAAATACTGCAGATGTAGAAATACGAAGGTCCATAAATAGGGGAAAAAAACATAATGCAAAAAAAATTAGCCCGTTACATTTGTCTAAATAATCGCTTTTGATTCCTACTTTATTTAATATCTTAGGGGCTGTTTGATAAATAAAATGATTAAGCGCTGAATAATTCAATGACCTAAATGATTCAAAGCTCTGTATGAATTGGTTCTGAATGTGACATGTTGTTTGATAATAGTTCTGAATGTACAATCTAATTATGAATATTTCATTTTTACCTTTATATTGATTTATTATATTATAATATATGATTGTAATAAGACAACATGTGAAAAAATATGTATTATGGTAATACCATATGCTTAATGATTCAGAATGTACTTTAATGGTGATCATTCAGCAGTGTTTTGTTGTTTTATTCGCATAGTCTTCATTCGGATGTGAGAATCAAACAAATTGAATGTTGAACGGTTTCACATTTAGCGATGATGGTTCCATTTAGCAGTAAAACAAACGGCCCTTTACTCTTAACATTTAAATTTTTTTATCAAAATAACTAATGTTGAATGAAAAACCCTTACTTGATTAACAATCACGTATATTAACAACATGACATTTTACATGTTTTATTGAAATAGTATATATAACATTATTAAAATAATGATGTAACATATATCACCTCAATTAAATTGTCATCAATTAAATACATATAATTATCACATCAATAACGTATTTCCATACTAATATGCTTTTTGACTAAAATTTAAAACATCATGTGTTAAAATGTCAATAAAAAAGAGCATGGTAAAAGTTATATTTTAACAAACTTTGATGGTTAATTTTATCATTACGTCAAACAAATAGTGTCGGACTACTCACTTGGAGCTCAATTCCCTGGCCAGAAACCGAAAGGTCCGAGACAGCTCTAACGAGTCTCGCAGCATTTCTTTTGAACACAGAGCAACTAAAATCCTTAGGAACTTTCGCCGAGAACTCTGGCTCGCAAGCTTCCGTTGCTGCCGCCACTTATCTCCGTCAACGGCGAAAATCCCATCTCCGAACAGGTCTGCAAAATTTCATACGTGGATTTACCCTTTGCGTAGTTTCTGAAATTCGTTTTCAGTATGTGCTCGATGATTCGTGTATCGGTGGTGTAGAGTTCACTGCGTCCTAAATCTAGTAACCTATACGTTCGAAGTTTCCTGGCAACTTGAGTCTGGTGATCGTAAAGATGGTCGAAGTAAAAGAGCATGTTGAAAACACTGCCCTTCACCGGAGCGTATTTCGGATCGTTGATGGATTTTCCGGTGAAGATTTTGATAACAAAATGGATAGAATTAGGAAGACGAAGAAGAACGGCAAAGCTATCAACGAGAAGATAATAGTCAGAATATCCATAATTTTTTTTAAAACAACACTATGAAACCTATAATTATCATACATGTACTTACATACATATACATGACCTAATGTTTTTGTTCCAAAATTCATTTATTTTACAATCAAGACAAATCCAACAAGTTGTTGTTCATGGTTTTACGTTCTATATGTATATCATGTGAAACGCATTTGACATCGATATGCTTGTAGATGTATGTACAGCTTGAACGTGATATGAGATCAATGACGACAACTCTCCACTTGTATTTTTCTGTTTTAATAAAACATCTACTTGTAATTATTTTAACTACGATGACTTGTTTTCGTTTTCTATGAACTACCATGACATGATGTTGTTTGATTCTTTTGCCGTTCTGTTAGGAAACAAATCACGGGAAAAATTTAAGAAAAAGTAACGATAAGGACCCCATACCAATAATGATGATGAAGATAAGTATGTAAATTATTTAAATGTTTATTTTAACTTTCATACTACAAAAATTAAGTAAACACCGTACGCCTTGTACTTTTAAAAAAATTCAATATGAATATCGTATTATTTTTCTCTCAATTTGATTCTCCAACTTAAAAAATAAATCCAATGTGACTTTTTGTCTAATATTTTTTGTCGTTGATCGTTACGGTACTGGTGTGACGATCAATAATACTGACGTGATAATCTACAGTGACTAATGATGTGACAGATGACATAATAAATAGGTTAAATTAATTATTTTGGTTTTGTTCGTAGGTCAAATTAATTTTTTGGCTTATTTATTTAAAAAAATAAAAGTTATTTTAATTTTTAAGTATAAAATTATTCAAATATTTAAAAATATATATAAAATACTGAAAAAATTGAATATACTTATTGAAAATACTAAAAATTTTATTAAAAAATTATTTTTTAAATATTTATATCATTATTTATAAATGATAACTTATAAATTATAAGAAATAAAAAAATATTTTAAAGAATATTATACGTAATATACACATGTAATATATATATC